ACCACTCCTATCTGGTGGCACATTAGCTTGACCGCGCAGTGCCCCAAATTTGAATTAAGAGGACCGACCAAGCATCTTCTTCCATCTCCCTGTTACAGAAATCACTGCCATATCCATACAAATTGTACAGAATGTCCGGGATAGTTTTCCAGGGACAAATGTTGTCGCCTGTTGAACGAGGTGACCTTGCTCGGGTCCCAGGTGTACGGTTCCTAAAATGGCTGCCATATACACGTCCACTGATAGGAGACGCGGAAGGTATTAAACTGATCAGAACAATACTAAACACACCACAAATAAGGTTCTCTCCTGTATGGCTCCTCAAATGATGCTTAAGATTAGAAGCGGCTGAAAAGCATTTCTCACACTCCGAACAAAAATATATATTTTTAACATTCTCTCCACTTTGAACGAAATGGCGTTTGGGAAGAGATTAACATAATTAAACCCAGGCAGTAAAAATACAGTTTTTAATACCATACACTATAGTTTAAAACTACACATCCCATCTTCTGAGTACATATTTGGAATCAGCACACTTAAAACATAAACGCAGCAAAAAATCAATGGCCATCCAGGGGTTAAAAGTTAGCTGGAGAGGTCCCTTTATGACCGACCCATAAGCACATTTTCCTGCAAAACAGTTCCATAGATTTGGGCTGTGAGATTCGGTCTATTTCAGGCTGAAAAAGGGCCCAAGTCCATCGCTTGAATGGACTTAGTCTCTCCAACTAATATAAAACCAGTAGGGGAAGGTAGGAAGCTCAGTGGTGTTAGGAAATGTGTAGCGATTTTAGTTCCATGAATTTGGCTACACATACCGTGACCTCATCGAATAATCAAGATGGCATACCGTGTTGACCAAATGAACAAAGACCTCCCAGCATTGTCAATTAAGCTGCGGTTAACCGCAGCTTCTGGGAGGTAAATTGCCTGCACACTTCCACTTCTGGTTGGTCTGCCTGTGTGGTACTTGGTTCAGTAAGCTCCATTTACTGAACCAAGTGGGAATTAGCCAGGCAGGCACAAAGGGTTTGCACCAGGTCTGGGGACACAGGGGACACCGTCTTAAAGGGGCAGTGTCCCCAACAAGTCTGGGGACACGGCCTTAAAGGGGCAGTGTCCCAATCTTCCTGATGTCCCAAAAAGGTGTTTAAAGGGCCAGCACCAGTCACATAAAGAGTCCATAAACCCCAATATGCCCACTGACAGTCTTAAAGGCCATACACACCAAATAAAAGTGCATACATTTTCACAATCTCCCAGGGGCCATAGTCATGCGGGAGGAGGCTGGCAAATAGGCTTCTCCACAACCCAGGGAAGCAGGGCAATTTGCCATTTAAAGGGCCCGTTACAAATAGCAGTTTGTAACAAGGTGTCAATCCATATCTGCCAAGTGACCCGATGTAGGGGGAACAGTCCCTATTCTGCTCTGTGTCAGTGTGTATCAGGGATCCTTAGGACAGGTGTCAATCCATATCTGCCAGTGACCCTATGTAGGGGGAACAGTCTCTATTCTGCTCTGTGTCAGTGTGTATCATGGTCTCTGAGGACAGGTGTCAATCCATATCTGCCAAGTGACCCTATGTAGGAGGAACAGTCCCTATTCTGCTCTGTGTCAGTGTGTATCAGGGATCCTAGGACAGGTGTCAATCCATATCTGCCAAGTGACCTGATGTAGGGGGAACAGTCCCTATTCTGCTCTGTGTCAGTGTGTATCAGGGATCCTTAGGACAGGTGTCAATCCATATCTGCCAAGTGACCCTATGTAGGGGGACCAGTCTCTATTCTGCTCTGTGTCCGTGTGCATCAGGGGCTCTGAGGACAGGTGTCAATCCATATGTCAAGGTGTCAATATGTCATATGTCAGGTGTCAATCCATATTCATTGTGATTTAGGAATGTTAGGTGATTTCTGCCCTTTATGGATTAAAACCAGACTCTGTATCAACCGTGCAATTTTCCATGGGAGTTTTGCCATGGATCCCCCTCCGGCATGCCACAGTCCAGGTGTTAGTCCCCTTGAAACAACTTTTCCATCACTATTGTGGCCAGAAGAGTCCCTGCCCATTGAAGTCTATGGCGGTTTGCCCGGTTCGCCGGTTCGCGAACATTTGCGGAAGTTCGCGTTCACCGTTCGCGAACCGAAAATTTCGAGTTCGCGACATCACTATTTACTAGTGCTACTGCTGAAATGACTTGTTTTATATAAAACACACAAACAAAAACTTTAAAAAACTTAAAACTAAAAACTTTTAAGACTACATAAAATAATCTTTCTGGAGCAAAAATATGGGCATTTGGCCACAGTATATGTTAGCATTTTGGTAAAAAAAAACTATTGATCTGGAAAGTTAACTAAGTTAGATAATTTTTCAATTAAGTTAATTATTCCAGTTTAGTTAATGAGGAAATGGAAGACATAATTCCCAGTTTAGTGAATTAAACTGTTAAAAATATTCAGGCATTGCTCACAGAACTGTTCAAGTTGTCTCAAGATAATGGGGTGGTATTGTTTAAAGTTATGTCACATGTTTTCATTTGTATTTATATCAAATGCTACCCTGGTCAGTCATATCTCATACTTGTGGTGGGGAGAATAGTTTACTTAGAGGACATGCTCAATAGCCCCCTCATGCTTTTCACTGATGAGCCATAGGTGATAGACACCTAACAATTATTACTTAAAATGGCACTACCAACTAGTACAGCCCAAAAGTATGCATTTTTATTAGAATCTCAAAATATTAATGAAATCTATTTTTTATAAAAAGCTGTGGGGATTTGTCCATGGTTCTCAGTGAGAAGCATTTGATTGGATAATGCCCAGCTGGTATAACTGTTCCTTATAACCACGAGACGAGGCTGCGTGTTGAGGGTGAAGTGAACTGGTTTTAATGGGACCACACACAGCCTTTTATGTGAATCCCCATGCAAGGGGTCTACCATAACATATTCCATGGGCATTCTTTACTGGACCTGAGAGGGGACAGCCACACAATGTACAACACAATTATATTAACTCTCAGGTCAAGGACATGCATAACAGAAATACCTCAAAATATACAGTTAAGGTACCCCCTAAATCATATATGCCCGGATAGCCTGGATCTGAGCGCCCATCATATCCGAATTTGGCTCAGATCCCACGAATGTAGCCAAAACACCACGGGGTATAGTTTAGTCCTTTCGGGAGTACAAAATCCAACAAAATAAACGAATAAACAGTTCATGCGTAAGTTCACCCAGTATATCTCTTTTTTGGGAGTTTGTTCCCACCGTAGGCCACTTTCCTCAGACAAATAGAGCCGAACATACAGGTGAAACTCGAAAAATTTGAATATCGTGCAAAAGTTAATTTATTTCAGTAATAATCATCGCACTTATGACAAATCACGGCTTAAACTATCTTGCTTTGCATGTAATGCGTCTATCTCATATATTAGTTTCCCCTTTTACGTTGCATTACTGAAATAAATTAACTTTTGCACGATATTCTAATTTTTCGAGTATCACCTGTAGGGGTGAGTGGAAGTATCAGCGGCGTTCACACCGTCGAGTGTCCGATAATAGTTCCATGCACTTGACGACCAAACCCCACTGAACGAGTTTGACAAAACAAGATGGCCGCCACCTCATGTTCGTTCATACGAACGGCAGCCAACCAGCCGACCACTTAGAACGTTTAAGTGTTTGCGGTTTAGGAAGGTGTTATAGAGGTCAAGTGGGATAAAAATAATCAAATTGGAAATATTGTCTAAGTCAGGGATGCTTCCAGTCTGATTACTTTGTACTTGAATTTAAAATTCATTTTGAGATTACTTTGGATTCTTACAGAATAACCCTAGTACTTTAGCACACTTTTAGGTGGTTTGTCACAGTGGCACTCATCATATTTATAAAATATCCATAAAAAATGCAATGTGTATGTAAAACAAAACCCCCAAAAATATTATCACAAATTGACATAAACTGATGAAAATTTTTTACATGTTAAGACACAATATACATTATATGAGATACTCTGAAGTGTCAGCTTTCAATAATGGTAGGCCTTCACGGGATAATTGAAATTATTTAACTGCTAAAATGCCCCAAAAATTAGACATTGACCCATCAAATCCATCTATGAAAATTCACACTTTATAAGCTAAAATGGTGTGATCTCTTACACTGTAATTCATAAGCTAGTTTCTACAGTAAACATTGGGGGAGGGGGGAACCCTAGTGGCATGCCACCCTACTGTTGCAAAGACCAGAAGGATAGCATGCCACAAGGGTTATCTCCCCAGCCTCCTTCTCTCGGGAAGATGTGGATCCAGCATTTGCTAAGTCTCCACCCACAAAGATATTACTGACTAGAAGGCCTCTCTGTGGGGCCTGCCTTGATAAGTGAAAGCTATACTTCCATCCTCCGTTGATGCAAATTTGGGCAGACAAGTTAGATGAGCTTTAAGTTTAGACTGGTGTCGGTTTTTCATTTATTTGTAAATTTTTTTTAATTAAAACAAACAGCCATAAAAATATTTATTTTATGTTTATTAACACAAAAAAGGAAAACAAAAAAACAAAACAGAACCTTACTAAGGTATGGTTGAGGTAAATTGCATAACTTTCTTGTTAGCTAGGTAGTCATCAGAATATGTAACTGAGCATAATTTTATCACAGTGTCATGCATCAGATTTACAAACTATCCTGCAAAAATGGAATGGACATTTTTCACCACATACATTACCATAAGCTATTTAAAAAAATGGCAGCACACTAGGGCACTATATACACCATATGAGATACCCTTCACAAATGGCAGGACTAATTTAAACAGCCAAATTGCTATAATGATCCAAAATGAGAAATAGTCGCAACATCTTATGCCCTCCACCCCTCCTGGGGTATGGGCCACCAAATGTAGATCTCCAGAGACTTTTATCCCGGGCCATTCTTTCTAGTTGTCTCTAGGTTTAGCCCATCCTTGTGATGTCTGCCTCAAGGTTGCATCACCAGGTGTTTGTTCCACCTGGTGATGTTAGTTGGCGGTTTGCTTAGGGTATGCCCTATCAAGCCCCATCTTCTCTTCCAGATTTCTGCCTCTGATGAAAGTTGGCAGGTCCTTTCCCATAGGTTGGTCTTACTGATGGTGTCTGGCCAGAGATTGTGGAAAATCCTTCTGAGACAGCTGTTGATGAATGTCTGGATTCTTCTGTTGGTGGTTTTGGTTATCCCCCAGGTATCAGCATAGTACAGCAGTACTGACTTCACATTGGAGTTGAACAGTCGGATCTTGGTGGTCAAGGTTAACTCTCTGCAAGCCCAGATGTTCTTGAGCTGCATGAAGGCGACTCTTTCTTTGCCGATCCTTGCTTTGACATCTGCATCTGTTCCACCTTGCTGGTCAATGATGCCACCCAGGTAGGTGAATAACTGTACTTCCTCCAGGGGAGTTCCATTTAGGGTGATTGGGTTGATGTTGCTTAAGTTGGTCTTAAGGATCTTAAGGATCTTGGTCTTCTCCTTGTGGATGATGAGCCCAACCTTTGCTGATGTAGCTGCCAACACACTGATCTTCTCTTGCATCTGCTGCTGGCTGTGGGATAAAAGTGCAAGGATGTCGCAAAGTCCAAGTCATCCAGTTGACTCCACAAGGTCCACTGGATTCCATTTCTGCGTTCGCAGGTGGATGTCTTCATGATACAGTCAATGGCGATGAGGAAGCATCCTTAACAAGCATCCTTGTCGGACTCCAGTCTTCACCTGGAAGCTGTTGGTAAGCTGTCCTCCGTGGATCCCTCTGCAGGTCATTTCCTCATATGAGCTCTTGATCAGGTTGACAACTTTGGATGGGATGCCGTAATGCTGGAGGAGCTTCCATAGGACCTCTCGATCCACACTGCCTTCTCATAGTCGACGAAGTTCATGTACAGCAATGAGTTCCACTCCAAGGACTGCTCGACTATGATGTGCAGAGTTGCAATCTGGTTCATGCATGATCGATTCTGCCGGAAGCCTGCTTGTTCATCTTGTAGTTGTGGATCTGGTTGATTAGATAACCCTCCTTCCTGTCAGTTGGTATCTCTTCTTCCTCCCAGATCTTCTCAAAGAGTGGGTACAGCATCTCCACTGATTATTTCAGCTCTGTTTTTAGAACCTCTGGTATGTCATCAGGTCCAGCTGCCTTCCCGTTCTTCATCAGGGTGATGGCCTCTCAATCTCTTCTCTAGTTGGCTTGCCGCAGTTGATGGGGAGATCTTCATTGGCTTGGGTTGATGTCTGGTGGATTTGGTGGTGCTGGTCTGTTCAGGAGCTTCTCAAAGTGTTGAGACCATCTATTCATCTGCTGCACTAGTCCTGTGATGATCTTTCCCTCCTTGTCCTTGACAGGTTATTCTGGCTTTCTGTACTTCCCAGACAGTTTCTTAGTTGTGTCGTACAGCTGTTTAACCCCATTAAGGACCAAACATCTGGAATAAAAAGGAATCATGACATGTCACACATGTCATGTGTCCTTAAGGGGTTAATGTTGTCATTGAATGCTGTTCTGCTTCAGCTGCCAGTACATCTATGTAGTCTGTCTTGTCCTTCCTAATGTTCTTCTTCACTGCTCTATGGGCTTCCTCGTATTCCACTTGGGTCTTGTCTTGCCTTTTTCTGCCCTAGTCCTGCTGTTGTTTACTGCCACCTTCTTCTGTTTTCTCTCTTCTATCTTGCCCAAGGTCTCAGCTGTGATCCACTCTTTGTGGTGATGTTTTTTGCTCCGACCACTTCTTTACAGGCTGTTCTCAGTGTCTCTTTTATTGTCTGCCAGCTGGCCTGTACACCGCTTCTTTCCTCTTTCTTGTGCAGCTCATGTAGCACCTCAAACTTGTTCTTCAACTGAATTCCAAACTCCTCCCTGACGCTGGTGATCCTTAGGTGGCTGACATCATACTTCACTCTACACTGTGTTGTTTCCCTGCAATTCTTGTTTAACTTCAGCTGCATGCTGGCTACTACTAGGTGATGGTCGGACGCCACATCTGCTCCTAGTCTAATTCTAACATCCTGCAGTATTCTTCTAAACTTCTTGCTAATGCAGATGTGGTCAGTCTGGTTCTCTGTCACACTATCCGGTGATATCCAGGTGTTTTTGATCTCTGGTTATATCCAGGTTGAGCTTAACCTTCTTCTGCTCAGTTCTGAAGAATGCTGTGATCAATACAGGGGCCATGCACCTCCCATCCAATCAGGGCCTTTTGTGCTTGCTTGGACAACATGAAGCCTACTCCCTTTGTGTGGGGTGCATCACTCTCTTCCTGCCCAGAGTACAGCAATAGCTTTCATGTCATCAGTCTCCTCTGTCCTGCTTGTGTCCATCTGATTTCACTAATGCCCAGTATGATCAGGTTGATCTTCTTCTGCTATTGCCGGTTCCAAACCCAGATAAAAAAGGAGGAGAGTTGGGCATGGGGCTAGCAACCTCACCCTGGAAAAACCTCTACCGCTACAGTCGCAACAACTTTATCTAAAATTCCAACTGTAAAAACTGAAATAGTCAGGTCTCGTATATGGCACTGTAACTTCACAAGATACTAGCAAAGGCATACATTGAAAGTATTGTTTTACTCAAAAGAGTTAGTTGAGCATAATTGGGGGGGGGGGAGGGGTGGGGAGACTGATCATAGTTGCACATATCACATTTACAAAATGCACAGCAAAAATTTAATATTTCTGTAAAAAGGGTCTACACAATTTTTTATGGTCACTGTTTAAAGCTTTTGTCCATATTATTCCAGATTAATTGTGACCATGCTTACAGAATTCCCAAGCCCAGAGGCTTTCCCAAGGACTTAGTCCGTGATGTGATAATGAGGATTCATTATTACAAGTCAAAAGAAGGTGGCAGTTTTCTGCGAGCTCCAAAAACCTAAAACAGCTTCCTGCTCTTTTCTCCACCATTGCATTACTCTCTGATTTATTTCCCGCAACAACAGCGTAAATGAAGACATTTGCGCTGGTGGCACAGTCCCTATACAACAGTAGGGTGGTATGCCAATAGGCTTATCCCCCTCAGACTTCTTCTCTCGTTAAATGGGACTGTGGTGGCTCTGAATTTGTTCACGGCGGGTCTTACCACCATCCAGGCTCTGGGGCTTATCTGGGGAAGACATGGATCTGGCATTTGCTAATTCTCTATCCGCAAAGATATTATGGACTGGAGGGCTATGGCCTACATAGATTAAGGAATGCTACTGGCTCTTTACTTCCATCCTCTGGTGATGCCAATTTGGGCAGATATGTTAAATGAGGTTTCAGTTTAGACTGGTGTCGGTTTTTCATTTAAAAAAAAAAATATTAAAACAAACAGTCATAAAAATATGTACTTTACATATAGTAACACAAAAAATGAAAACATAAAAAAACTCATAAAAAAATAAAAAACAAAACAGAACCTCACTCGGACATTGAGTTGAGGTAAATTGCATAACTTTTATGTTACCTGGGTTGTCATCTTGATAATGGTTGCTTGTGATGCACTTATCACCGCCTATATATCATGATACTATAGACTGTTTCTTGTTTTCACATGTTCTAGCTATGCTGTATTGTGTGAGGATTAAGGCCCAGTGTTCTAGATGTGTTCTATCATTCCCCCCAAGAGTGATGCACCACAGTCTTTGATATTCCTACTCTTTCCTATTATCATCTTTGCTAAGGCTAAATTTTATTTAACCCAAATGGACCATACATTCTTACATCCCTACTCTAAGTGATTATATGAGGGATTGCATGGCTTTCTTGCTATGTTAAAACTCTCTTACACTTGGGGCCCCTACTTCCCAGTTATTATCTCCAACCCCTTTTAAAGTCCTAGTCTACTTATTCTGGTAATCATGCTATTCCCCTTTAAGAGTGGTGCATTGCATCCATCAGTTCTTTTGTAGGGTTAGCGACATTAATAAGTCCTGTCCTCGTAGTTTGAAATTAAATTTTACTATTGTTCTTGCTAATTTTCTTTCCTGTCAAAAGGGAATCATGACATGTCACACATGTCATGTGTCCTTAAGGGGTTAATGTTGTCATTGAATGCTGTTCTGCTTCAGCTGCCAGTACATCGATGTAGTCTGTCTTGTCCTTCTCTTTCCTCTACTCCCTTAACTACTCTCTTTATTTAACTACTCTCTTGGTCCATGGGGTCCTGCCACGTGCCCTTTGCTGCTCTTTGTTCCACTATCTCTATGGCTACCATCTCAGTCTACTTCCTACATAAAAGACTACAGCTTCTCGAAGATGCTAAAAAAAACGATGCCTGTGTTGTGATGTCTTCAAGAGACTCACCCTTGTAAACCTAAACTGCTGAAACGATCACCTGCTCCCTATCCTGTGCTAAACCCATTCCCCATCCAAGAGCTTTGGAACCTTTATTCTTATACACAGAGATAGTTCATTCACATTAAAAGCTACACATAATCATTAACGGTAGCCCCATATTTCTTGTGGGTCTTCTCTAACTATTGGGCTTTAGCTCAGAACAAAGGGGGTGGAGATGGGGGGGCGGGAAAGCTCAAAACAGAGGAGGTATGTAATATTGATAATTCACAAAAAGTACTAAAGACTCATGATAATATTAAATGTATGCTTACTAATGCAAGGAGCCTATATAACAAAATGGGGGAACTAGAGACAATAGCATACACTAAACAATATGATATAATAGGCATAACAGAAACATGGTGGGATGAGACACATGACTGGGCAGTTAATTTAAATGGGTACACGTTATTTAGGAAGGATAGGAAAAACAAGAAGGGTGGTGGGGTATGTTTATATGTCAACCATGAGTTAAACTCAAATCTTAGGCATGTGGAGTGTGACGAGGGAAAGGTGGAGGCTTTATGGGTAGATATCTGCTTGGGGCAAACAAAGGGAAATCAATTATTGGTTGGGATATGTTATAAACCACCTAATGTAAATATTATTGAGGAAGAACAGCTGTTAGAGCAAATTGAGAAAGCTGCAAATCGAGGTAACACGTTAATTATTGGAGATTTTAATTATCCAGACATAAATTGGGAAAGAGGGACTAGTACTTCAGCAAGGGGCATCAGGTTTTTGAATGTGTTAAATGACACCTTTATGTCACAACTGGTACAAGCACCAACTAGAAAGGATGCTTGTCTGGATCTTGTCATAACAAACAATGTTGATCTTTTAACCAACATTCAAGTAGGGGAGCATTTGGGAAATAGTGATCACAATATGGTAAATTTTGAAATAAACTCAAAAAAGCAAAAGCAAGTGGGGTATACTAAAACATATAATTTAAAAAAAGCCAATTTCAATAAGATTAGGGCAGCTCTACAACATATCGACTGGCATAAACTCCTTAGTGATAAAAACACTGAGGATAAATGGAAACTATTCAAACAAATATTAGAAAGGTACATTTCTCAGTATGTACCATTGGGTAATAAATATAAAAGAAACAAATTAAAACCAATGTGGCTTAGTAGAGAAGTAAAACAAGAGATTAAAAATAAGAAAAGGGCATTTAAAGCATTTAAATCAGACAAATCAAAGGCATCCTATTTAAGATATAA